TATATATTTTCATTTCACGTTTTTTTGTTAAGCCCCTTCCACGATTAGAAGCAAATCATTTCATGGCCTTAGAGCCAACGCAGAGAATGCACACACAAACAAATTGAATAAATTGCATAACGAGAGAATAACAGTTGAAATATCACTTGTAAAGGTGCACATTTACAAAATCACGGAAGCAGGGAGAGGGGTTTAAAGGTGCAATACATTCTTCTTCCTCTAGGTGCAATTTGAGATCGATCTCTGGATTTCGGCTTTAAGTTGTGAATTCCCAAACAAAATCAAACGGTCATCCAATCCAGTAGAGAAATGCTCGTATGCCTGTGTGTCTGGTCTGTAAACTGAAGCTCCCAGCATCTGTTGGGTACTCCTGGGCCAAAGAAACATTTAGCTCCCTGGTCTACAGCTGCAGGGTGGCTCCAACCCAGGGTCATTAGTCACCAGACTCTGGACACCCCTCGCTCATATCCCTTCACATAAGGTGGTGTAATTGATACCCATCATGCCGCAGCTCTAATCTCCTTGGTGAGAGACAGGACGCCCCCCCTGTTTGGTTAAGAAGTTGCTGAGCGGGGTCCAGGACTCCGGGTCCTGTCTCTTTGCCATCACTCCACTTGAAGGTGAGATGATTTAGGAGCCTGGGAGAAAGTTAATTTCTCTTGATCATTGTGTGCAACCTGGAGCCTTAATGGCGGGCGTAATTAATTCTGCTGATGTTAATCACCAGGGCTAGTCCCCACAATTATCAGCCCTGTGCAGATGGGGAGCGGCGCAGACATGAAAAATTAGGAAAATGAATCTGTAATGGGGTGGCAGATCTAATCTGCGTCAGAGAAAACAAAGTTAGGGAGAGCAAAGGGGTCCCGGCATTCCAGGTGAAAGCCACCAATACCGGCAAACCTGTGTGGCGAAGCTGAAAAATGTCGCCCTGTCCAAAGTGTTTTGTAATTACCGGGGCATCGAATTGTTCTATTGTTAATTCATCACTGCTGCAGAGGTTAGGCTCAACGTCTCCTTCCTGGGCTGTCGGCTGGAGAAGAGAGGAAGCAGCAGTGGTCACATGCTTCTGGAGTCACTGTAAGGTTGATCAGGTTCCACTCTCGGTTGTGTGGGCTTTGTAATCAACCTCCATACTCGTCACTCCGTGCACAATAAAACAGGTACTCACACACAACCCCTCACTGAAACGAACACACACACACACACACACACACACACACACACACACACACACACACACACACACACACACACACACACACACACACACACACACACACACACACACCTTGAATTGCTTCAATCATGAGTTTCACTGATGGAAGAATTACTAAAGCATTAGTGGTCAAAGGACAGTTACTCCCAGGGGACGTTTCCTCTGCCAACGTCAAACAAAATTAAGCAAAATACAACTGATTAATTGAAATTGCAGCGCAGCCATTTTTCAAGCCCTTACTTGGCTCTGGCAGTTGAGCATGCCGTCATTCCTATTTGGTCAGCTTAATTAGTTTTCTACCTATTTTGTCTTTAATAAAGCGTGCCGCAAGCTCTTAAAAAAACTCAAACGTTGGGATGAACCATTATTCGTCATGATCACATGGTGTGAATGGTGAAAACCAAGCAATAGACTGAACTGCTGGCTATGATTTAGTCACATTATCTTATTGATGACTTAAAGTTTTTATAAAAGGTACATCATGTGAGAATGAAGGAAGAATTACGTCCTGTGGTTAAAGTTGGTACTTTAAAAGTGACATGCACTGCTGTTCCGTGACTTTTATCACCGTTGCCAGTTACGGATCAGCGCCGGAAGATTTTAGATGACGATGAGTCATACACAGTAAGTTGATGAGTAGATAAATACGTTTCACTATAATATGGAATTGTTGGTTACTGAAAATTTAGCTTGAGATTTTTTTTAGAGATGAACTTTTTGTTTCTAATTTACTGTTAACATCGCTAGCTCAGCGTTTGTGTTGTCCTTCCCTATATTAAGCCCTTTTTACAAGATAAGCCATGCCGGCAAATCAACGTAATATTACCACAACGGTGTATTTTATAAACGCGCCATGGCGTTGCGTGAATTTTGCGGTATTCGTTCTGCCTCGCTTGGTGGTAATACTGTGGTAATGGTCTGTCTTATGAACGGCTATTGCAACATGGCGCAACAGAGGACGTGGGGAATAAATGCCGAGCTCCGGCATACACATATACTGAAAATGAAAGTAAACGCGGGCAACACGTTTTGTTTTTTGAACAAAAACAGCTGAGATGGCAAACTGGAGCTCCATAGCGCTCCATGAGTGTCTCTCTGTTGGAGCTGCAGCTCAGATCATCAGAGACTGCACGGGGACTGACGGGAACAGACATCTTTAGGGGCGGCTTGTTAAAAAAACAAACGTAACGATCACGGCTTCAATCATAATAAAAAGCAAGTTATGTTCAAGATAAACGGAAGTCCACGGTGTCGCAGAGACTTCTCCATACCTCCTTTACGTCGCCATTGCCTAATTTTTTACAAAAAGGACACGACTGTGCCACATTACCTCCACAGTCTGACCACTTATAAACGACCTAAGTGTCCCTGATGCCGCCACGGCGTTGCTGCAGTTTGATGGCATTGTTTTTTAAAAAGGGCTTTAGATTATAAGAGAAATGGTCTGTATTTGATTTAGCACCTTCCAGAGTCATAGAACCCTCCAAAGTGCTTTATAACACAATCAGTCATTCACCAGTGCTCACACACATTCACACACAGAGGGTGATAAGCTACAGTGTAGCCACAGCTGTCCTGGGGACTCGCAGATTGTAAACAAAGACCGCGTCCCTCTTTGGCCAAACTTGAAAGTAGAAAAACTGACAACCCCCAAACCAGCTGAGAAGGAAATCTGTTTCAATGTAACATTCCTTCAAACACGGCTGAGACATCATACCAATTTGTGTTAATTTTACTGTAAAACTCTTATATTGTACCTTTAAACATCAAACCAATCTGAAGATCACACCTGACAGCTGAGTCAGAATAAATCTCTTTCCTGATGAGAGCAGTGATATCTGTTTCTTGTGTTGTAATTAACGGCCCTTTTCCAACAGAAAACACCACTCGATTGTGAAGGTATTTAGATGTAATTACAGTTGTGATCGATACACACACATTGACAATATTACCCTTAAAGTTTCTTTTTCCTCCAGTGATCATCAAAGGTCAAAGGCTCATTTTTGTGTAATTACTCACGGGGGTGGTGGTGGGGGGGGGGGGGTGGTGGACTCACACGCAAAGGCTTGAGGTGAAGCTCAACATACAATAATAGATGGGCCAGCTGGCTGTCTATTGTTCTGTGGTCAGACGTTTCACAGCAGCGGTGACCAGGTGTTTACACAGGGCACAGCCACACAGCCTCACGGCAAGGGGAAGGACACGGGCACCGTTTAAAGGTCCCAGATCAGAGACATGGACCGACACAACAACGCCACATTTTTAATTTCAACAGAAATCACAGTGTGCAGGCAGGAAAACTCCACACAGAAACATTTTTGGAATGCAGGTTAATGTAGTCATAATTCCAGGGGATTGTGTGCTAATGTGCACTTGCTTGTTTGTGTGAGGAAATTGTATCAGCATCATTAGTGCTTCGCCTGAGCTCTGAGATAAAATTTGGCAAATGTCCTCAATCGTCTTGTCCTCCAAGGATTTACATTTCATCACAGCATGGGAAAATTAAGATGACCCACAAAACAAAACCACACCCTAAAAGAATTCATTGAATGTATTCAGGTATGAGTCACTGAATAATTGCACTCTGGACCCACAAACACATTGTTTTGCCTATGCCGGCCTCTCCTCCCCTTCTTCATCCCTTTGCTAACGCTCCTATTCCCTTTAAAGGAGACATAACATGCTTTTAAGTTATTCCTTTTTACATCTAAATCCTTCAGTTGGGGTCTAAATACAGTGGAACTGCAGTTCTTTGGTCTGATTTCCTCATTATTGTTGCTCTACAGACCCTCATCTACCCCTGTTCTGAGGAGAGTCTTGAGAACGAGCCGTTTTTGGGTACTGTCTCTTTAAACTGGAGGAGGAGCTGTAAACTCCGCCCCCCTCCATAGTGCAGACCTGTACTCTCCTCCCCCAGTCGGACTTTGTAGTTCTATAGAGAAATCATTATTTAGCATAGCAGATTTAGCATAGCATATTAGCATTTTTAAAACATGTGGGGAGGGTAGTTCATCAAGCTGTTTCAAGGCTGCCAACTCTCTCATGCATTTGTCTGTAGTCACTCACACACACCCGTCACTGCCGACGGAGGGACCAGCTAGCAGGCACGTGCGCGCGCGCGCGCACACACACACACACACAAGGAATGCTGCTTGCTTATTTATTTCTATAAAAAATGTTTTAAAAAATGATACAGCTCATTAAAACACCATTAAAAGAATACATTTTAAGATCTCTATCTATATATATACATACATATAATTATAAATAATTTTATAAGTAGTCTTATTTTATATTGGGTGTCTTAATGGCTGAAAATGGATAAAAAGCAGTTACATTTTAATTTAAAGATTTGAGATTCGAGTCAAAAATAAAGAACATTCCTCCAAATGTTCTTTAATGTGATCATTATAATTCTAATGCTTACAACTTTGTTTTTATTGTCTGCAATGCGTAGCCTATATCTTTATTAAATATGTGTTTAGCTGTAAAGTGGTAATTCTCTCTAATGTGTACAGAGAGGTGGACATCAGTGCTGCAGTGAAATTCCCAGGATCAGTTTGCTTTGCTAACAAATATAGTTAAATCTTACCTGCATTCTAAATAAATACCGTTAGGTGGAAACATCAGTAGGCATTGAGTTATTGATACAATCCCTAACAGCCAGAATGGATGAAGAGCATGCTGGGTCATCCTGAATCTGAGCCTGTTCTGTGTATTTACCTACAGGATGCAATAAATGTCTACAAGGCTGAGTTTGGACCATTACATCTAAAAGAAAACATACAATCAGTGATTTTTTTAATTGTTTACATTAATATACAAATTTTCTAAGTATTAACCTCACAGCAAATAAGTAGAACAATATAATAAACAGGCTTTAGTAGTTAAACAGGCGTTGTGCACACAGGTGCTTTGTGTCTCGGTGCTGGTGGTGTCTAGGTCTCAGAGTTCCTGTCCTCCTGCCGTCTTCTGTTGTCCTCAGGATACGGATTGATGTTTCCTGATGATGAGGGAGGGGCAGTATGTGGGCTTCAAACTGGTCCTGGATAACAGTGGGAGACCTCTGTTGTCTCTGAGACCAGAGGGTTGGTGAGATGCAGATCTTCTCTACCTCATCTAGAAACGGAGTTGGTTCAGGGAAAACTTTTCCAAAGACCAGTTCCATGATGTCATCGCCATATTCTGCAATGATAGACGATAACTTTAATGACATATTTTGTTTACAAGCAGCTTTAGGAAAGTTGTTTCTTTAGCTTTCATGTTTATAGTCACGTTTGTGTTTGTTCACAAGTTCACTTTGCTGCAGTGACTTCATATTCTTACAAATGTAATAAAATAGTGACACTAAAATTATACAAATGATTCCTTATGAAAGGAAGCTCATTAGAGAGCAGTGCAGACAGACTTACTACATGCTGCAGCTGTTTTTACAGGCCAGCTGCTGCTGAATTTGGGGAAAGTTATTCTGCACACATCCAGATCAGATGGTCGATTACAGAAAATAATGTAATTGAATAATTTCTAAACAGATTAAACAAGTAAAACGTCAAATAAATCACTCTGCTGTCATCAGACGGAGTGATTCAGGGGGTGAGGTGTTCTTAATGATGAGGGTGGCTGAAGTGTGTCATCACTCACTTTGGTCTGGTCCAGCTACCATCTCTTTACTGGTGGGTCTCCTTCCTCAGTAGGTGACGTGAAATGCCAACATCTGAACGTTCTGTGTTCATTAGAGGAGAAGAAAAGTAACATTAGCAAGCTGGCTAAATTATTTTTTACTAGCATCTGGGAGAAGCAGATCTTCACTTACCTAAACATCAGACCAGTTTGTCCCAGCTGAGCTCATCAGGGCTTTAGTCTGACAGCCTGTCAGTGAAACACGGCTCCAGTCTTCTGGATGTTGACTCTAAAAAGCAAAGGAGCATTTTTACTTTTGTTTTACAGCCGATTTTATCAGCTTTCCGACGCTCACGCTCATACAGACGGTGAGCTTTGCTGCGTCTGACTGATGCAGAGTTAGTTTTTATATCTGCAGTGAGACAAAAAACTAACCTCACTCCACTCAGAGATTGTTCTTTAAAACTATTAAATCCACTGTGTTGACGCACTTTAATGACTTTGTCACGCTGCATTTTAGCTGATATGGGACTTTATTTATTGGATGCTAAGATTACATCACACTCACGTAGAATAACACACAGGCTCTCTGCTGCTACAATCAGTGGGAGGTTATCATCTGGTGTAAAAGAAGGCGTTGATCAGAAATCACGTTTTATTCCACGAAAATCAGCCAAATCCACATTGATCTGGGTGCTAACTTTACTAGCATACTGTGCTAGCGATAGTAAGCCGGATGCTAACGCTTTAGTGCTGCTAATGCCCGTAAATCTAAAGTAAAGTTTGTCGACATTTTAGAGTGATATGAAGCTTACCGCTCTGCTGCTGTGTCCCGGTGCTGCCACATTCAGATGCAAATGACTCCTTTTAGATAGATGAAGCCCTCAGTACTTACTAGCCTGGAGACAGGAACGAACGAACCACGCGCGCGCGCGCGCACACACACACACACACACACACACAAACACAAACACACTACTTTTTCTTCTGTGTTTTTTTTAGCAGTAGTGTCATCAGCTCCTGGGTTTAAATACTGACACACCACCCTTCCTTAAAAAGAGGAACAGTTTTGAGCTGTGTGTGGCTAAAATAACCAGACATTCTGCATTTTTCCAATAGGACTACAAAAAATCTTAGCGAGAAGAAAAAATGGCGGATTGGCTCTGTGTTTAGCCGAGGGCCATTACCATATTTGGTAGTTATCCTGACTAAATTAATTACTGACGTAATGGATAATGTAAAAACTGAACGGGTGGACAAATATGCCCAAAACTTAATTATTAAATATCTAAATAGCAACTCCAGTGAATAATATAAGCCTTTTTGCTCACTTAGACACTTAAAATGTGAAACACACTGTGTTAATGGATAAAAAAGTGGGTTTTTCATGTTATGTCTCCTTTAAATTAGAAATCGGACTGGCCTTTGTAGGAGACACTGAAGACGAATCAATATGTGCATTAATTACAGCAATTCATTACCCAAATAAACATGGGACTCAACCTTTGCTGGATACAAATTCAGGGGATGTTAAGTGTTTAGCTGGAGACAAAGGCCTGGAATCCCTATTGAATTAATCCAAAGGATCAAACTCTGCTGAGTGCCAGGACTCCTCCTGGGAGTGTCCAGCCTGGGATCAATTCCTGTGTACCAGCAGTGAGTTATGGCCACTGAATACAAAGGTGGTCATGTGACATGGCACAGACACAGCTCTGCTGCCGCTCTGCTGTGTTCTATTATCTGTCTTTTTCCCCACTCTTTGGCACTTAATGAAGGTCCTGCTGGCCCACAAAGTAGTGGGCTAACAGGACAGGCTCTGGTTCCCCAGGTCCCCAGCTTCCCTCGCCTGCTCCAGACTTGGGTCTCCTGCATTTCAGGGCCTCAGAGACTCCTGAAGGCTCCTGGCAGAGGACGAAGGTAAAGGACATCCCTCTCCCTCACTGTCATCTTTACAACATGTGCCTATTTGTGAATTATATCTCCAGTGGTGGCCATAATAAAACATGATAATGATGGATCACACCAGTAAATTACTGTTGAGTGAATTGTTAGGCCAGATGCTTTAGTGCGTGTGTGTAGGTGTGTGTGTGAAAGAGAGAGCCACAATAAACTTGTGACTATTTGCTAAAATGGTAAACGTATTTTTGCAGAACACGTTCCAATTTAAGCCATTTTCATGAGATATTTGCAGAAGTTTTCCCCAAATGACATTGTCATTGTCACCCTAGTACACACACACACACACACACACACACACACACACACACACACACACACACACACACACACACACACACACACACACACACACACACACACACACACACACACACACACACACACACACACACACACACACACACACACAATAGCTAACAGTTTTGACAGCACCCCCAGACACCATTACAGCACAGAAATCATTCAAAAACCATCTGCAGGATGATTTGCTGGAGAATCTGTGAACAGATTCCTTCAGGCTTTTGCATTAGTTGAGTTAGCAAACAAAAACAGAAAAAAAATGTCTTTATAGTAAAATTGCTTCAAACAGGAAGTTTACCCTTTTAGCTGGAAGTGGTAAATATCTGATGTGGTACAAGGTATTTTTTACACAAAAATTCACATTTTTCTCCAAGTTCTTTTCTCATTTCTGCATAAGCAGATTGCAAAAACTCAGTTTTTGCCAACTGGGAAATCAGAATGTGCCTAAGAACCAAAACTATGAATTAATGTAGATTAAAGTCATTTAAACTCAACTACATTAAACTAATGAACAAGAATTTATACAAATAGACTCACTTTCAACAGATACTTGTTTTCTTGAGGCGTGCTCCTGCATGTCAGTGCATAAAAAAAACAGCCCCTGAACACTTTAGACATAAGAATTAAGCACATCTGCTTGAATCAACTTGGTCACATTGAAAAGATGAAAACAAAATATCACATCAGAGGAAGAATCTCATGAGATTCTGTTTCTCCATTGAAAATGCACAAGAAACTATTTAACATTATGAAACAAATTAATAATTCTTTCATGCTCTTTCCTAAAAATTGCATCTAATAAATCCTGTTTGGGGTCATGGAAAACTGGAGTTTCACAGCCCAGATTAAAAATCTGAAGTGACAGGCAGTTCCTCCCTCGTCCACTAGGGGCGGGATCCAGAAAGGAGCAAGTCCCCATTGACTCCCGTGTTAAAAAGGCCAACTTCACAGAAGAAATAAACATTATTACAGTCTGGTACAAAAATATTTTTTAGGTTTAATAGGTCAAGGTCACCATCATGCCAACTCTGAGGGGATACATCTTTTTCTCACCTGTTTATATGTATTAAAGCTTGAAACTGTGAATTAGGGAGTATCCTTTTGATTGACAGGTGTCAGGTGAGCTGTCAGCACTAGCGCTAGCAGCTTGCTCCAGCAAAAACCTCAGCCTCGGTCTCACTTTACAAGTGTTACAGCCAGAAGGCAGAAGGTAGCAGTCTCTCCACCACAGTTTTCTGGTTAATAACGCTCGCCAACCTCCGTTAGCTCGTAGCTAATCAGCGTTTGATAGGTGTCAGTGATCTGACCCCACCCTCACAGCCCCACCCTCTGGGTTATTTTTGTATTTTCCAGGAGTGACAAGATGCGCGATGTGGCCAAGATGGCACCAAGATTAAAACATTCAGCTGTTCAGAAACCTATGAATGACATCACAGAGGCTCTAATATTCTGTGTATTATAAACTCTTCTGGGTCAAAACCCAAGTAAGAAGGTTACCATTTACTTCTTTTTCCTACATTTGACAGGTAAACATCTCCAGTAAAGCACATTTTACAGTCTCAGAGGTAGGAAATGTGATATAAAAAATTGTGTTATAAAACTCTGTACTATTTCAAATAGCAGGTCTGCCTCTTAAACTCTTCAAAGCTTCAAATAAAATCAACAGTCATGAAATCTCACCTGGTAACTTCTTCTACAAAAATATATATGGAAAAATCAGAATAATAAATAATAATTAAAAAATAAACATACATTACTGACATTATTTTTCTTTTTAAGCATCAATCAATTTGTTAAAATTTGACTGAATAAATGTAAATAAAAGACATTTCTCTGGCTTTATTGAAAAAGAAACTGGCCCAGTTCATAAAAGCTATGTGCACTTTAATGTAACCAAGCCAAGTGAGCTGTCAGAGTGCAACTACTGGGCCCATCCAGCCCAAAACATGTTTAATGTGGACTGACATTTAGTTGGTCCAAAGTTTTAAACCAACCCTGAGATAATATCTGACCTGACCCATTTTTCATCGGCTACATCCTCCCTGCACACAACTTCAAAAACTCCCACGTCACATTTGTGGTGATAAATGAGTTCATTTTTTTTGGAGAAATTTATATGTATATTTTATCACAGTGGAGCAGAAGCTCATAAAAATGTTTGAATTGCATTTTATTTATTTAAAGCTTTAAGCACAACACTTTGACCTTTCGGCATTTAAAGCTAAAAAGGTGATTCGTTTTTCATAAAAGTCCATTTGAGTTGGCCGCCATCCAAAAGTGTTACTAATTAAAAATCAATCTGTGGACCATTAGTGCTCAGGTGTGTGCCAAGGTTGTGTGTATCAGTGGATCATTTGTAATGAGGCCAGCTTTAAATCTGGGGGAGAGAGGGAAAGGGGCTGGGGTGGGAAAAAGGGGCAGGTACAGACCAGAGATAATCCTGGGACCTGCTGTTGCTCAACTTAACAATTGATACTATGTGTAAAGATGCTGAACTTGTATTCTTCACTAATTGATCCACTTACCCTCATCGGGAGGAAGGCGGAGAAATAAATGTGGGTGTTCATTACATGTGAGGGAGTCCATAGATAACTATTAACGCTGGAACTGTTGCCCTGATTCTGATGGCCGTGGAAGGGGTTGTGGAGCAGGAAGGCATTTGTCTGCTTTAGCAGGAGCGCTGTTAGATGTTTATGTGATAAATGTTAGCTAACTCAGACCAGCACCTTGGGAGCAGCAACCTGGAGCCGTGGGCTCTGGTTCTTATTAAAGTTACAAGAAAAGTATTTTGTTGCACCTTTCTAAATTCTGCCCAATTACAGAGGTGTAGCTGGTACTGGTGCCCACCAGTTTGGCTCCGCAGTCCAAACTCTAAAACACAGAAACTTTTATCAAAGCAGACTTTACAGTGGTGCAGTTTGCAGAGCTGCGATAATGTTGACAAAGTGTTTTTAATCCCATAAAGGGGGTGGTAGAATATATATTCTGCTTTTATGGGATATTTTGTGAAACAAAAAGTGTCTGTTCATGCATGCTGGTGAATCTGTCCCCTTTAATGTCCTTTTATGGTCGAACAGAGCAGCCAATGTGGCATAAAACCTTTAAAACGTTTATGGCAGTAAAAATGAAACCTTGACCATATTACAGGAATAATTCAAGCAGTTTAAACATGGTTGGTTAAACGGCACTGTAACACACATGTTGACTCAGTTTATTCTGGGCTAGTCCCACGTGTATTATTAAACATTACCTTGTCCTCCATGGATGATCTCAACGTGGTTCTGTAGGATTATTTTTAGCATAAAAATGTAAATTTTTCCATCTAATTCTGATGTAAATCTCATGTATCTATGTACTGAAGATGAATGTTGCTAATTTAATAGTATAGTTTCTTAATATGCAATAAAAGCTGCTGAGTGGCAATTTGAAATAATGTTGAGATTAATGTAAGTGTTAAATGTTGCTGAAAGATGTACAGTGAACACGTTGTTTTCTTTACCTGCTGCTGGCTTTTTGTTAAATAATCCCAGATTTATGCAAATAGTAGAGCTGAAAAACGACGCTGCTATTCTTTTTCTGTAACTACGAATCTTTTTTTGTCGTCCCTCCAGTCGAGAAAATGCTTCCACTTCCTCAAAACAAATGTGCTTGTAGATATTATCTTCAAGCTGTTATAGTCCTCTTTGCCTTGATGGTGCTACAGTTTGTGTGATGCATGAACTTCATTGTTCTAATTGGTTTAATTGGCTACATCTTTAAATGTGTAGAGATAAGCCACGCCTGGTGTAGAGATATTACTCTTGCTGTGGCTCCCCGCTCAGCATTGTTTAGTACTTTGAGAGGCACTTTGAAGCTGAGGTCCTTAGAAAAGATAATGTTGGGAGGAAAAAATATCTTTTAAAGTTTTTATAGTATGAGTTATATGAATATTTTGAATAATGCGTTGAACACTGATGGGAAGAAAATTGTGAATCAAACTGAAATTGTAATTTCTCTTAGAAATATTGCAATTCAATCTTTTTCAATCGTTCAGCCCTACAACGTACCCCAGCTTTAACTAGGTTTCATGTCATGTTATTTTAAACCTATGAGAACAAAGGCAGGCCCAGTATTTGATAGA